GAGAGACTTGTTGAAGTCTCCTAGTATGAGGGCAGGAGTTGGGGACAAGGGAAAAAATTATGAGCCATATATTGAACTCACTGAGGAAGGAAGAGGAGCAATCTGAAGATCTGGAGACAACAGCTAGCAGGATTTTAATTGGGGAGTAGAAATGAACTGCATGGAAGTCAAAGGAGGAGAGGTTACGGGGTGATGGAGGTAGGGAAAGTGTGGAAGTGACAATGGGAAGCAAGGACTATTCCAACTCCCATTCCTCGACCACTGAGTCCAGGGTAATGAGTGAAATGCAGCTAGTACTGGAAGGTGTGGCTAGGGAGGCTTGTCATCTAGGGGAGCCACATTTCAATAGCAGCTAGAAGATAGGCGTAGGAGAAGAAAAGATTAAGGATGAAGGAATTTTGTTACCTATGAAACGGATGACTCCAGATAGCACAGTGGAAGAGGTAGGTATTGTTTGGTTGGAACTTTGGGATGTGAGGTTTCAGGGAGATGAGAATAAGGAATTGGGTGGTGGGGGGTGGGGAAAGGATCTGGACAATGACCTATAGAGGTTCAAAATCACTGTGATGTGTAAAGTATGACTGGTATAGAATATGAATGTTCCTTGTTGAGTGGAAGGGGCTACTTCTCTTTCCAAAGGAGGCTGGAGGATAGAGACCAGTGTAGCATGAGATGGAAGGCATATGGTCAGATGGTGGGATTTTAGCTGAGATGTGAGGGAAGCCAGTAGGTGAGGATGAGGAAGAAGATAATTCCAGGACAGTGTTGTGAAAATGCTTAAAGCTCAGGTTGGGGAGTATTATGCTTGAGGATCAAAGACCCAGGAAGCCAGAACACAAAAGTATGGGAGTGAGGGGGTGAGGGAGTAAGGTGTAAGAAGACTGGAAAGGTAACAGAAGTCCAGGGTATGGAGGGCTTTAAAAGTCAAACAGAGGTAATGGGGAGCCATGGTTAAGATTTTCAAAATTGTTTAGTCTGCAAGAAAAACCACTGAGGCAGAGCTCTAAGTCAATGGCACTTTATTAAAAGGACCATGGTTCCCTCTAATGACGTAGACCTCAGATCTTCCTTAGGATGCCACCTTCCTCTGGGACCTTAGTTTTACAACGTTTGACAAAATAGAGCAGACCAGAAATACAGAGTCTTATTGGTGGATAGACCTTCCAGGAGGGTCTACACAAAATACAGAATCCCAGTTGACAAATGGGCTAATGAACAGACCTTAACAGATCTATCTTGACCTTTCAGGATGTCCTACTAAGCTGATGAGCACACCCACAGGCTGGTAGAAAGGCAGGCTGCAGGCTGGCAACCAAGGTCACTCATCATCTACATGCTTATGATCACCTTCCCATGTTGGGCAATGGCGGGATGACGAAGGATGGAGGGGTAACAAAAACAGCTGGGGGGATTTCCATGTAATTGAGTCACCTTGGCCACACTGGGCTTGGTCACCATGACAAGAAAAACAAGAGTGGAGGTTCTTTAGTTAGCGACCTATGATTAAGCAAGTGAACTTACAATCTGCAGTTCACAGCTCTGCGGACTAATATCAGAAAACCACCACCCCGTGGAGTTACATCAAACTGATTGCAATAAAACAAGGATCCAATTAATCATCTATCACACAATGGAATATATTGAGTAGGATGGTGACCTGGTAAGACCTGTGACACCCGTGAGATCACTTAGACAGCTGAGTGGACATTAGGCTAAAGAGACTTGAGGCAGGGACTCCACTTGAAAGGCCACTGCAATGGTCCAGGCATAAGGTGATCAGCCAATGCCGCTGCATTTGACCCTACCCCCTCTTTCCTGATGCCCTCTCTTTGTCTGACACTATGGTGTTTGCTCTGTTGACTTCCTCTGTTGATTGCTCCTTGACACTTTCCTCTGTTCGTTCCTTTTCCATAATTTCAGGATTTATTACTTCAACATATATTTACTGAGCACCGACTATGTGAAAGCCACTGTGCTAGGGCAATGGGGGACAAACAGGTATATGAGACATTCTCCACCCTCTAGAAGCTTACAACTCATCGGAGGAATTAAGAGGTGCATGAATAACTACAGCATCTGTTGCTCTCTCAGCTATTATCATCAGTTCATAACATTTTATCTAGAACCTGCCGGGGGTCAGGAGATCCCAAAGAAATAGTAGGGATTGTCCTCATTTCTAAGAAACTCAGAATTTAGTTGGGATATGCCGATATAGAGGGTAGCACGGTGGCGCTGTGGATAGAGCACCGGGCCTGGAGTCAGGAAGACATCCTCCTGAGTTCAAATCTGACCTCAGACACACACTAGCTGTGTGACCCTGAGCAAGTCACTTAACTCTGCCTCAGTTTCCTCATCTGTAGCTAGAGAAGGAAATGGCAAAGGTACATTCTAGTTATCTCTGCCAAGAAAATCCCAATGGGGTCATGAAGAGTTGGACACAACTAAAGAACAACATGCAGATATAGAACATAGGAAAAAGCTAAAACATAGGGAAAAAAAGCTAAAAAACATTTGCATTGAACACTTGCAGATACATATTAGCATAGCTTGAGAGGCAGCAAGATTCAGTGGACAGAGAATTATCCTTGAAGTCAGCAAGACCTGTGTTGTTTACGTCTTGCTTCTCTCATCAGAAATGTGACCTTGGGCAATTCGTGCAATCTCTCTGTGTGTCAGACAGTTATTTAGGAAAACAAATCATCCCTGAGTTGGTGATCTGCATGGATGGAATTCTCCATCTGGTATTCCCCAGAGCAGGGAACAGCCACAAGGGAACACAGACAAGAATAACAAGCAGAAGTTCTTGTGTAGTCAGCACCAAGCCACTCGCTAGTTGTAGACAGAAAAACATATCCCAGGGAGGGTCATGCCTCCTGAGAGAGAAGTGAAATTTAATTCAGGTTTTGATAGAAGCCAGGGACCTGGATGGGCAGGGAGAGAAGGAGAAAGGTCCTGAAAACGGAAGGACTGGCATGAAGAGAATGAGGAGGGTCAACGGTCAGCAAGCAAGGCACCACCAATACCTTGGCACGGCTGAAGTAAAGGCTCCATGTGCTGGATTTCAAAAGCGGGGCGTGGGAAATTGCAAAGGTGAGAGAGCACTGGCCAGAACCATTGAAGAAGTTTAGACTGGATACGGCAGACTAGGAAGAGTGAAGGCTCTCAGGATAAAATCTGGAAACGGGGTGACTCCAGAGAGTTGTCCAGATAATAATAATAAAAATAATAACAATAACAATAATGCTCTGCATTTATCTAAAGCTACGGTTTTCAAAGTGCCTTACAGACTTTTTCCTCATCTGAGTCTAACAACAACCCTGTGAGGTAAGTTCAAAAGATATCCCCATTTTATAGATAAGAAGAAAGTTTTAAGTGGCTGCCCTTGAGTTACTTAAAAAAAAAAAAAAAAGCATTTGTGCATTTATTATGTGCCTGACTGGGGATACAAAGAAAGGCAAAAACAGGCCTTGCCTTCAAGGAGTTCACTTTTGTAAAGGAGAAAAGGCAATTTTTTGGGGGGGGGGGAAAGGTGCCCATAAGATATACACAGAACAGATGGAAGGTGAGCTCCAAGGGGAAGACACTAGCAGCTGGGAGGACCAGGAAAGTCTTCATGTAGGAGGTGGGATCTGAGGTCAGTCTTGAAGGAAGCCAGGGAAACTGAGGCAGGGTTGAGGAAGAATAGTCTGTGCCAAGGTAAAGGGATGGGAAAGTGGAGCGTTATGTTTGAGGAAGTGGGCCAGGGTAGTCAGTAAGTGTTGGAAGAAGGACCTGAACTATAGTCTTCCTGACTCTGAATCCAGCATTCTGTCCACCATGCCGCAATGCACTGTCCCCATTTGGATCTAGAGTGTATCTGTTGTCGTTACTTATTTGTTTCAGTCGTGTCTGACTGTTCGTGACCCCATTTGGGGTTTTCTTGGCAAAAATACTGGCATACTTAGCTATTTCCTTCTCCAGCTCATTTTACAGATGAGGAAACTGAGGCTAACAGGGTTATGTTACTTGCCCACGATTTGAACTCAGGTCTTTCTGTCTCCAGACCCAGCCCTCTATCCACTGTGCCACCTAGTGGCTTCGGTCTATCTGTAGCTAGGGACTATATGAAGCAGCCAGGTGGTATGGTGGATAGAATGAGAGACCTGGAGTTAGGACAGACGAGTTCAAATTCTGCCTCAGACATTCACCAGCTGTGTGACCCTTGACAAATCACTTAATTTTTGTCTGCCTCAGTTTCCTCAACTGTAGAATGGGGGTGATAATAACACCTCTCTACCAGGGTTGTTGTGAGGATCAAATGAGTTAATATTTATAAAAACGCTTTGCAAACTTTGAAGCACTGTATAAATGTTAGACGTATATAGCTTAGAGGCAGTTTTCAAAAATGTTATACCTAAGAGGTCATAGAAACATATAGGGAATCAAAGCCATTCATCAGATAATGTGAGGCTCAACAATTTTTTATTCTATGAGATATTCTGACCTAAATTACCAGAATGATTTTCTTGGTTCATTTTAATTCAGCAAGCAGTAAGTCCCCTAAGCAGTAAGCACCTATCTCCCAGGGTTGTTGTGAGGAATAAAGGAGATAATAATTGTAAGGTGCTTTAGCCCATAGTGCCTGGCATGGAGTAAGTGCTATAGAAATGTTCGTTGTTGAATATGTGTCAAGCCCAGTGGTTCATGCTGGAGAAAGCAAAAAGCAAAACTAAAAGCCACCATCCTTGTCCTCAGGGAGCTTACATTCTCCAGGGGAGACGGATACAAAAGGCACACAAATGAAGAAATAAAAACTGCGTACCAAGGAGTGAAAAGTCTTTCCAAGTGGGAGAGAATGGTGATGACTCTAGGGTGGGTCAGAGAAGGTCTCACGCAGAAGATGGCACTTTGAGCTTTGAAGGAAGCTAGAAACTCTGAGAAGGAAAGTAAAGGAGGAATATATTCCAGGTATGGGGTTACTGATTGGGCAAAGGTGCAGAGGTGAGAGATGTTTGCCTCTTGGTTTAGGTTTTTGGAAATCTGATTTTGGAATTGCAGAATCTTAAACCTAGAGCTGGAAGAGCCCTTAGGGAATTATATCACCCAACCTCCTCCTTTTACAGATGAGGAAACTGAGGCTCAGGGAGTTTAAGCTTTCAACAACCTCAAAATTTAACCTCACCCCCTTGGGAGAGTGACTGACCTCTGTCCTCCTCCAGCCTGGGAGTAAAAGAGAAGAGTTCTTATTTCTCTTTCTTGTTAGGATAGTTACCTTCCTCAGTCCCACTTTCCCTTTAAAAATGGGAATTTGCCTTTTGTTGAAATGCTTTATTTTATTTCAGCCAAACCCTCACACACTGCTTCTGGTTTCACTGCAGAAAGCAGGAATGGGGCACGTAGAAGTGCCCAGTGAGGAACAACCCTCACAAAACAGCCACAAATCACAAACACTCAAGGGGAAATAGGATGGAAATGAGAATATGATAAACTTTTTCTTCTGGATAAAAGAGTATATGGGGTTAGGGGGTGAAGAGAAGAAGGGGAAGGACGGGGAGGATCTCTGCTCTGACTCAGCCCTTAGAGCTTGTTGACTGAGCAAAAATCTGGGACAGCTGCCCATAGCTGCCTTGATTTGAGCCAAGCTAGTCCGACCCTTTTTCCTCGGCACCTGATTGGACCTGACTGTAAACAGACCTGAGAGCTCAGTCCCAAACCTTAAAAAGGGGTGAATTCTTCTGGAATCAGCCTGGATTTCTCGCTTCTGGACTCATGGAGGTCACAGTCTTCATTCTCCAGCTGGCCATCTCTGTCACCGTGTTCCCCATCTTTCTACTCCACTTCTTGGGCCTGCGGGGATGGATATGCAAAAAGCTCTTTCCTTACTTCTTGGTGCAGTTCACCAAAAGCTACAACAGAGACATGGCTGCCATGAAGCAGGAGCTCTTTAGCAACCTGCAGGAGTTTGCAGGGTCCTCGGGGAAGGTGGCCGTGATGGAGGTTGGCTGCGGTACGGGAGCTAACTTTAAATTCTACCCTCCCGGCTGCAGGATCACCTGTGTTGACCCCAATCCCAACTTTGAGAAGTTCCTGATCAAAAGCATTGCTGAAAGCCGGCACCTGCAGTTTGAACGCTTCATAGTGGCTCCGGGAGAAGACATGCATCAAATAGAAGACAACTCCATGGACGTGGTGGTCTGCACCCTGGTGCTGTGCTCTGTACAGCAGCAGGAGAAATTCATCAAAGAGGTGCACAGAGTGCTGAGGCCGGTGAGTCTTGGAGAGAATACAAGAAGGACCCCTGTCAGCCCCAGCCTGGGACATTTCTAGACATACAGGAGGTCCTAGCAATGCCCCTTTCTTCCACCCACTCCCAGTTACTTACATAATATTGGTTATGTAACTGTGGTTATATAAAAGCATTGTGGATGGCTTCCAGGTAGCTCCCCCATGCTCTTTAGACTGCACCAGGATCTTTGCAGGAGAGCATAAAGCCTCCTCAATTTTTTTCAGAACTGGAAGAGATTGAATAGCTTGCCTAAAGTCATATAGGTAGCTGGTGGCAAAGCAAGGGTGTAAGCCTGATATCTCCTGACTCCCATGCCCCATGCCCACATTGTGTTTCCTCAATCATGTGAGAAAGGGGTGTGTCTTGAACTGTCTAAATAACTCTGGCTGCGTAGTCTTGCCCTGAGAATTGAAAAGCTGATTATTTTCTGATGAAATTACAATATTATAATACAGATACAGAAGCTCTGAAATGCCAGAAAATGATTCTAGCATAACAACTATTTTTATCAGAAGCCTCCTAGTTGATGGAAATCTGCATATGAAATGTACCCTGGAAAGTTTCCTGGTGATTTCAGTCTTGCCTTCTTATCTGAAGCAATACGACGTTTGCTCTAAGAAAATGTTTGAAAATGATTGGCATATTTCCTGATCACTATTGTCTAACATTTTATGACATCCCCAGAACTTAACTCCAATGTTAGGATCAAAGAAGAGAGAAATTCAGGCATAAATTTACTGAAACAACACAGACCATTCAGATGGCATCTCCCCAGCCATAGCTAAGAAAACAGTTAAAATACATATTGAATAATTCAGGTCAGATAAGTAAGGCATCAAAGTTATTTTTGCCTCAACTATCTGAGAAATCTTTCAGAAACAGAGTTAGAATCTTTCTCATAAATCATTATGGAAGATATTTCAGGAGAATATTACTATATAGTAGTGCTCTAAGTAAGGTAGTACAACTGGGGCTTTCTATAGGGTGCCTAACTTGAAGTGTGTTAGATCGAGACAGCCCTGGTAGTCTTCGAGAAACATGAAAACAACAGCTTAGCACTGAATTAGTAAGAATCATTGGTTAAAATAGGAAGCTACCTGGTGGCTGTCTAAGGTGACCTCCTCCCTTGCTACACCCTACTTTGTCCTCCTCACCCCAAGTAAGGTCTGCCTCAAGACACTTGTTCTGGACTCAATTTATGATTCTTATGGCACAGACAAAAATTTAATGGCACCTGAAAAATTCCATTCAGTAAATTATCATTGCTTGTGGATACTTTAGAGCAAGGATTCTAGGGAGCATCAGGCTCTAAAACTCCAGCTGGTATCTAACAGCAGACCCCGAATCAGAATGGTAGGGGTTCTTAACCTGGAGGGGTCTGTGAACATGTTTTTTTTAATTTTGAAAGCTATATTTAATTATAATTGTTTTCCTTTATAATCCTGTAGTAATATAATAATAATAAATATCTAAATATAAAATAAAAATTAACATATTGCTATAATATATGATATAATAATATTATAATATAATCCTGTAGTAAAACATTATTCTGAGAAGGGGTCCATGGACTGCACCAGAAGGACAGAGGGGTCCACAACACCAAAAATGTTAAGAACCCAAGGACTACTCTCTGGAGCCAGACGTCCACCCTAATTTTTTTGTAACCCCCATCTTAGATGAAGGGGGGGTGGATTTCACTTTCCTCCCAAAGGAAAACCACAAGTCCTAAAAAGTGAAGCAGAGGAGAGTCTGGAACATAGCTGGCTTCCTCAAATATAAAAACATCCACACTACATTTATACCGAACGTTCTTCCAATCTGCACCTGGGCCCTCGCAGTCACCTGCGGTTGTCTGCAGCTCTGGGGCTCAGTGTATTTCCATTCCATTCCTGGCAGCGCCGGGGCGGGGGGGGGGTGGGGCAGGGAATCCTTGGGGGAAGGGGGCAGGGACGGGAAGGAGGTTGAAAGAATCGACTAAAGGCTTCTGGTGCATACAATTTATCCAAGTGCCTCCTCGTTGACAAATAATCCCTTACAAGTTGATTTGTGGATAAGGGAAAGTTGGAGAAGACGTATTAACTTTAGGACTTTGCATGGTCTAAAATACCTGAAATGATTTCTTTTCTTAGGGAGGTGCTTTTTATTTCATCGAACACGTGGCAGCCGAACCGTCCAGTTGGAATTTCTTCTGGCAACAAGTCCTCCGGCCGACATGGAGGCTAGTGTTTGATGGTTGCGACTTGACCAAAGAGAGCTGGAAAGCCCTGGAGCAGGGCAGCTTCTCCAAGCTGAATCTGCAGCATCTGCAGGCGCCCATCTCCTGGAAGATAGTCCGGCCTCACATCATTGGATATGCCTTGAAATAATGGGGGAGGGTCGGGGAGCGGTCCAGATCTGGGAGGAGTTTCCTGTTCTCCTTTTAAAACTCCTTTAAAAACATTGTGGGTAAGGGGAAGACGGGAAGGGGAGGGACTATTCTCTCTCTCCCACTGAAAGGAGGGGAGGGCAGAATGGGAAAAGATGCTCTGTTATATATATATATACACACACACACACACACACACACATATATACATATATACGTGTATATATATATACATACATACATACATATATATATATATATATATAACATATTCCTAATTCCTGATCTTCTTCTGGGAAAAAAAAAAAAAAACCATGAAACAAATGCAACCCAGCTCTCAGCTATCCAGGATGACTGGGAAATATTTATTGTGAAATACCCATATAATCTCAAAATCACATTCTATTCAGCACCTTCGACTTCTCCAACAATATGACATCTTACTCCAGTTGTTAGCAAAGGGCGAGGTTGAAACCGGACTTGGCACCCTGCCCTCCCACATACCCACTCCCTTGTTACTAATAATGTCCAAATTTGGGTGGTAGAAAGTAAGGGAAGAAGCTAACTTGGTAATCTACATAGCCAAACACGGAGGTCCTAATAATTGAGTTTATGAGACACAGCAAATTCCCAAAAAGGGATTAGCAGGATTCAATTTCAGGAGGAGTATTTTTTGAGCCTGGTCTCCTGGATGCCATGATTCATTTTGTTCAAAAAGGTCTTTTCCACCTCTTCTTTTCCACCTCTCAAGTTCCATTGGCTTTTATTTGTACATATGTCTAACACTGGTCTCAGCTAATTCCAAGCATACATAAACACAAAGCTGTATTTTATCATGTGGAATAAAGTGCCCTATATTTAAATTTTTATTCCTAATAATGATAACACCCTAAACACCAGCTCGCAAATGCTTAAGTAAATACTGGCACACAAGGAGACAGCATCATATAGTAGAAAGACCCCTGGATTTGGAGTTGGTGGATTTGAATCTGAATCCTGACTTTGCAAGACCCTGGGCCAATCCTTTAGTCTCTCTGGGACTTATTTTCCTCATCTGTAAAATAAGTAGGTTAAATTTAGATGACCTGTAAGACCCCTTCTAACTTTAAATCCTAGAGCCTAAAAGATTATAAAATGTTTGACGCATATAATTTTATTTGATCTCATGACAAACCCTGGGAGGTGTGTTATTATCCTCATTTTACAAGTGAGGTTTAGAAAAATCAATCCAGTGACTTGCCCAAGTTACGTAACTTATCCAACATTCACACACATATGGCTATGTTGGATAAACTCATATAACTTGGATGTAAACTTTATATATATATATATATTTGTATACATGTGTATATGTATGTATTTGCTTTCTTTACATATACATGTGTGTATTACATATGCCTATGCATGCTTTATACCTACATATATAAAGTTTACATTCAAGTTACATAAATTCATCCAACTGATAAAGAGCAGAGTCAAGAAGTGATCTGAAGTGATCTCAAGTCCTCAGACTCCATCCATCTCAAGTGTTCTTCCTACAGTGTGCCTTAGAAAGGCAAACATTTTTCTATTCGAGCCATAGCCAAGTGCATTTATTAGGATTATTAATACCCAAGTCATTCTAGTTACTGAGGAAACGAGACTCTAACTGTGGCTCACAATTATTAATAGTTCTGATTAGATTATTCTTTGATGTATTTTGGCTTATTAGTTTTAGTATCTACCTACCATTCAGGTGCAATAGCTTTGGGCAGGATAGGGGTGGGCGCCCTGGAAATGAAGAAGGTTGTAGGTAAGCTCAATTGGCAGGTGAACCAGGCAGCTCCACCTGGATGATCCTCACCATAAACCCTGGGCGTGGCATTTCTTTGATCTGAGTGGCTGGTGTAATAGCAGCTATGGGAAGCCAGTTGGGTTGCCTCAGGGCTTTGGAAGTAGGTGTTAAGTTGTTCTGTCTTTGGAAGATTTCATGGGTTCGGTATTGTGTGGTAAATCTGTTTTCTTACATGTTGTATTAAATTTGGTATTTGTCTCAAGAGGGCTTTGCAAAGGGAACTGTTTTGTTTTTTTTTAAATCAAATCAATAAAAAAGTTCCTGTTGTTTTTTTTTAAATCAAATTAAATGTTATGTCTTTATTAATTATTGGATATTTTTGTTGTCATTTTTCTTCATATTTCTAGGAAGTCTTCTCATTTTGGAAGATTATGCTATTTGTGTGTGAGCTTACCGTCCAAGTCAGTGCTAGATCTTGAAATAATCTTAAAGATTCCCTCCTTTTAAAATTTGAAATTATCAATTTAACATGCAAATATGGAAAGGACCTGTAATTTAGTCAGAATTGATAAGCTCCTGGTATGGAAACTCCCTCACTCGAATAGATCATGACCAATTTACAATTTAGTAGATAAGTCCTAGGAAGGAAGTTGTTCAAAGTACATAGAGGCTAAATGATCTGCCCATTTGCAACATGGCTAATATGAAAATGTTTTACATGTCTACACATATATGATCTATATAAAAGTGCTTTCCTTCTCTAGGAGTGGGGAGGGGAGGGAGAGAGGTAAAGAATTTGGAACTCAAAATTTAAAAAAATTAATGTTAAAAATTTTTGTTGATATGTAATTGAGAAAAAATAAAATAAAAATTAAATGAAAAAATATTTATCCAGAATCATACAGCTAATAACTGCCAGAGGCAGATTTGAAACTAGATCTATTTCCAAGTTATTCCCTCAAGCCCTGACACTGGGCTGCTTCTATTACAGATTTAATAATCATCAACAAAATCAACTAACCATACGAAACTAGGAATAAAATCTTACATAAACCTTTAGCAATGTAGCACTAAGTAGACAAATAAAAAATGTTCGCTGCCTGTCCCCTTCCAAGTTCATATGAGATTCTACTATCTTTGAGGGGTGTGTGTGTGTGTGTGTGTGTGTGTGTGTGTGTGTGTATGTGTATGTGTGTGTGTAGGATAGGTACCAAAATGTGGTGGATAGAGGGTTAACTTTAGAATGTGTGTGCGTAGGATAGGGACCAAGATGGAGTGGATAGAAGGCTAGCCTTAGAATAAAAGATCTAGGCTCAAATCCTACCTGTAATACCTATGCAAGTCACAACTTCTCTTATGCCCCAGGTAACTAAAACTGCAAATTTTAGATGAGTTGCTCATGTGTATTGGTGAAAAAAGTTTCTGTAGATGGAGTCCCCCCACACTGATGAAATCACAGACCAAGTCACTAAATCATACATAAATAGTTATTGCAGTTTATGTATATAAAATGCCAATTCTTCTGATCTTACTTTGCATCACTTTATGAAGTTCTTTCCATATTTCTTATATGCTTCGGCTTCACCATTTTTATAGTATCATAGTATTTAATTACATTAATTGCCGTGATTTATTCAGCCATTCTCCAATTGGACATGTACGTTGTTTTCACATTTTTTCTCTATTAATCTCTATCACAAATAAAACAACTATATATACTTTTGTACAGATATGCCTTTTTTGTTGTTGTTTTCATGATATTTGGGTTAAATGGAATAATCAGTTCTGTGCCTCTAATTGAATAGTGTCGCATTATTCTCCTAAGAGTTTACACCAGGCTACAATCCCAACAACAAAGTAACAGAACGCCTATTTCTCCACAGTCCTGCCACCATAGAATTTTATCTTTTTTTCTCCCAATTTTTTTTATTTCTAATAGTATTTTAATATTGTCTTCATTAGCATTTCTTTGATCTTTGGAAGAACCTAAACAACTCAGATACAGCATTTCACGGGTCAAGCTCTTCGTTTTACAGATGGAATGAAGAAAATGAGAACTAAAGAGATGAGATAACTTTTGTTTCAGGTTCTGTGGTAAATTACAGGCCCAGGTGCCATGTTCTCCCACCCATAAATCTCCCTAAATCCCTTTGACTCCATAAAGGCTCTTTATAAATGGTCCCTACTATTTTCCATTTGATCCTGATTGAATCCAGGTGAGCAGTTCTGTCTTTGCTTCGGAAAAGTAGCTCTAGATGGATTTTTCCTGGGTCATGGACCCGGTGGTGCGGGGCAGGTGGGTTACCCTGACAGTGAAAGAGTGACAAGGACTCTAGGAGTTTCCAAAAGGAGAAACAGATTTTGAATTTTTTTTTTTTACCTACAAGAAACCCTTAACCTAGTCAACAATTTATTTTTTTTTTGGAGAAAAGTTAGATCATTTTATATTATCAGGATAAGGATAGAATTTTATTAAAAGGGTGAAGTCCAAAACAATAGAGCAATTATAGGACCTCAGTTTTAACAAAGCAAGGAGGAAAGGGGACATTACTAGTCCTTCTAACCCGTTCTATTGAACATGAGCCTTTGCTACAGCTGTTACATTCTGATATAGGGCTGGGAGATTCATTCTGGGCTTCCTCCTCCATTTCCGATGTACAGTTATTAAAGTTCTCACAACATTGTACAGGAGGAGTGAGGCAAGTGTTTTCACATCCTTCCCCTTTCCCCATACTCCCTCCTCTGAAGCACAGAATTTTAAATACTTGCCTTATCCGTACTATGTGTTAAATTTGTTCTAGTGAGTGAGAACTCATAGGACTTTGGAGGACAAATACTATTAAAATTCAGAGTTCTGTGTACTTCTACTACTCTGATATGTAATATAATAACATATACCGTAAATCACCACAGAATTGTCATCACTACACAATTTTTGCACCCTGGTTTTTTAGTCAAAATTGGTTTATAACCTTTCATTGTGTCATTGCATGGTATAATTTAGTTTGTCACATGGCTTAAAAGATAAACAGAGCATTATGTTTTCACATTTCATTTCTGTATTCATCAGTGGCATATGGATGCCCATTTACATCTGGCTCATTGTCACAGGCATTGGCAGTATATTTCCGAAAGCTGACTTGCATGGTTTGTTTAGAACGCTGCAGTACTACGGTACTGTCATTCAGGTGGGCAGGTGAAGCTGCCATGAGTAAGTCACATAATATAGTAAGACTTGCATCTTCCAAATTTTAATGTATATTCACGAGTACTCCATGCATCCCAATCTTGCACCAAAGACAGTTTAGTAATAAATGATTTTTAAGTAATGCTGGCACAAATTTTTTAAAAGCTTCATATAATGTTTGAACCCCACTGTTTTGCAAAAAATTTGGCATAAAAAT